GGCAGTGGTAATAGAGGAAAAAACTTTCAATTGCAATGAAAATAATCGCAGGAAAATCGTACTCTACGGTTTCCCTGAATATTATAAGGAACCAGTCTACGACGAACAATATAGATTAATTGATATTCTTTACAATAAATTGAACATTGATCTCACGGATTATCTCGAAGAAACTTATAGGCTAGGTAGAAATTATAATAAAAACCGTCCATTAGTCATTGAATTAACCACCAAACGAATTACAAAATATATTTTAGAAAATAAACACTACTTGCAAGGAACTAGATTGTTTGTGTCAGAATTTTTGGATGAAAACGCGAGATCTCAACGAAAGGAAATGTACGAGGAAATGATGAAAGCTAGGAATAACGGATTATATGCAATAATAAGAAATAACCAGTTGATTATTGAGGGAAAAATAATAGACATACAAAAGGAGCGAAAATACATACACAATAACAATAATGTAACGCAAAACGAACAACACGAAACGCAACAATGTGTAGATGAAGAATACACTGACAACTATGGAAACCGTACCCATGGTACGTTTCGAAACCCCAGACCAACAATTTAATATTTTGTTCCAAAACATTCAAAGCATTAGCAACAAGCAACATCTTTTAGAGGCTTTTATCAATAACAAACCGACCATTAAAGCAGTCTGCATGTGTGAGACATGGCTCACTAGAGATAAATTAGATAGTTTGCAATTAAGTGGATGTAAAACTGTAGCATCATATAGTCGCCACTCTCGAAGTGGTGGCGGTGTGTGTATAATTTTAAGAGATGATATAGAATTTATAGAATGTTATGATATAAGAGATTTTACTATTGAATATTGTATAGAAATATGTGCATGCAAGTTACCAAAGCAAAACCTTTTAATTATAATTATTTACTGGAATAGAAGAGAGGAAGAACTTTTTCTTATACAATTAAAACAAATTATGCAATTTATTAATCATAAGTATAAAAACCTTAACGTCATAATAGGAGGTGATTTTAATATAAACATATTAGAACACAGTACAAAGGCAAACCAATTTATAAATCTTATGCTCGAATACAAATTCACACAACATATTAAACAGCCGACACGTATCACACGGACAACATCAACATGTCTTGATCTGGTTTTTACAAATTTTAACGACAACAAATTACACACAACCGTGGAGGAATTGGGATTTTCCGATCACTGTGGAACTATTGTGAATATGACATTTAAGCAAGAAACTAAAGAGCTCGTATGGTATACCATGAAAAGACTATTTAACACAAGCAACATACACAAATTTAAATCTAAACTAATCAATCAAAACTGGAATAATATCATAAAACCGAATACAAATTTAAATGAAAACTACCAGTCATTCCTTAGTACACTGCAAGACATTTTAAATGAATGTATCCCAGTATGTAGAATTAAATTGAAAACTAAACAGTACAATTACTGGCTAACTACAGGAATAAAACGATCTTGTAGAAATAAAAGACTACTTAAAATTTTATCCGTAAAAATTAATAACTCAATTTTCACTAAATACTATAAAAAATACGAAAAAATCCTAAAAAAATCCGTGATAACAGCTAAAAAATTACACTACATAAACAAAATGAATAAATCCACAAACAAAATTAAAACTATGTGGAATATTGTAAAAGAACGAACAAACAAAATATCGAAAAAGGATAAACAAAATATAACGTTGCAAACGACGAGCTTAGTAAGTGACCCTGTGCAGGTAGCTAATATTTTCAACGAATTTTTCGCTTCAATCGGGGAAAGTATCTCCCAATCCCAAACACCCGGCTTCAAGCGAACTCAAACACCAGTCATTAACCCTACTCAGAATACGATGTTTCTTAGCCCGGTAGACGGATATGAAGTAAATACCATCTTGAAAAATCTAAAAAATAAAACTAGTTTCGGCATAGACGAACTACCACCAACTCTTTTCAGACAGTGCGCGGATGAACTTACCTTACCATTTTTCAAACTGATAAATCAGTCGTTCGAAGAAGGCAGTTTCCCAGACCATTTAAAAAGTGCAATAATAAAACCAATTCATAAAAAGAACGCAAAGACAGACCCTAGTAATTATAGACCAATTGCTCTCCTGCCAACTTCCTCCAAAGTCTTTGAAAAAGCAATGTGTAGTCGAGTATATTCGTTCTGTGAAAAATACAACATTTTTAATGATTGCCAAAACGGATTCCGTAAAAATAGATCAACAACCTTAGCAGTATATAAGTACATCCAAGAAGCGTTAAACGCCATAAACAATAAACATTATGCAGTAGGAATATTACTTGATATGACCAAGGCCTACGATAGGGTGAGGTTTGATATACTGCTGCAGAAGTTGTATGGTATGGGAGTACGCGGAAAGGCATATGACTGGTTCGTGTCATACTTGAAAGGTAGGGAACATTTGGTTGAGTTAGAATTCTACAACAGTACAACAAGAGAAGTACAGCACATTCGATCAAAAGTCAGACCAATACAAGCTTCAATTCCCCAGGGAAGCGTTATAGGATGCCTACTTTTCCTAATCTATATTAACGACCTCCCCAAAACCATAGAAGGGCCGTGTGTCCTATTTGCAGACGATGTTTCAATACTCACCTCATGCCGATCGACTGATCATATCAACGAAAAACTCAACAACATTCTTAATAACGTAACTAATTGGATGACACAACATAATCTCGAAATAAATTTTACGAAGACCAAATTAATAACCTTTCACCCTTACCAAAAAACCCAAATGAACATTAATTTTAAATATAACCAAGTGGAACTAGAAACAGTTAATGAATTCATTCTTTTAGGCTTGACAATAGACACAAACATAAACTGGAAATCTCATATTCTCAAATTAAAGTCAAAAATCGCAAAGTTCTCATATGCCCTACATGAAATTAAAAAGACAACTGATTTACAAACTGCAATAGTTATATATTATGCGTATGCCCACGCTTGGTTCACTTATGGTATCATATTGTGGGGAAACAGTACGGATGCCCATTCATTGTTTATTTTACAAAAAAAACTAATCCGCATCATAGCCAACATAGAACAAACCAATAGTTGCAAACCTTATTTCACAAAACATAATATTCTCACCTTAATAAATATATATATTTTAGAATTGTGCAAGCTGGTTCGTAAATATCCAGATTGTTATAAAAAAAGAGGAGACATACAATCAAGCCACTCGCTCCGACATAAAAACAGATTGGACTTGCCTCGCTCTAACCTTAAGATGCACTCCTCTAGCCCCTACGTTATGTCGATAAAAATTTATAACAAATTACCAGAATACTTAAAAGAAATAGAAAAGACCAATGTATTTATGAGAAAATTAAAACAATATTTGATTAAAAAATGTTATTACACCATAGACGAATTTCTAAATGATAAATTGACTACATAATTGACTGATTTGACAAGCTAGTGTAAGCTAAAAAGTAAATAACTTAATACTACTGAAAAATAAACATTAATAGTAATCTAACGAAACGCCCTTCCTCTCTCCTACCATTTTAAATGTTGCTGTGCCCGACAGGGTCCATAATTGTTACTATTTGTATTTTTCTAACCACCTGTATGTGTACATTATGGATGCAATAAATATTTGATTACTTGATTACTTGATAGACATTACTGTATTATATGTTATGAAATATGTTTTTGAAAATCATTAGTCGATGTCAGTTTCTTCACAATAACCAGTACACTAATTTCGTGTAGGTATTCCAAAATCAGACATAACATAACATCACGCCTATTATCCCTGAAAGGGTAGGCAGAGGTGCACATTACGGCACTTAATGCCACTGTACAATGTAACACCTACTTCTCACTATTTATGTTATGAGTTCCATGTAATAGGGGGTGAGCCTATTGCCATATACCAGGCACAAATCCAGGCTCCGTGCAAGTACTGACATTTTTTTAAAAACCCCCAGTTATACTTTGCCCGACCCCCCGGGACCCCTTGCCAACGAGACGGTCAAAAATCAGATACACTGAAAATACCAAAAACTGGGGAACTTAACTGGGGAATCGCACCTACACCGCTTAGCTTCTGCCCATTCAACCCACAATCTTACGACTTCACAATAGTATACATGACAACTGTCAGTATGTATGTCACAACAATACTACTACGTTCCCACGATCGGAACGCATACACGTACCAAATGAGTAACTAGTTCATTTGTAAGTTACGTACAAACAACGCGTGTTATATTTTTTGTTAGTTGTCAGTTTCTATGTTACAAGCTACTGCCACCGGCTTCGCTCGATAAAAATTACACATGACATATACATCAACAGCCTATAAGTGCCCACTGCTGAGCAAAGCCTCTTCTCACACGGAGGAGGGTTGAGTATTAATCACCACGCTTGCTAATTGCGGGTTGGCGATTTCAAACTTATAATTAGAAATTGAGTTCCCGGGTATAAGATTCCCGGGCGAAGTATTACAGGGTTTTTAAAAAAAATCTCAGTAGTAGCACGGAGTCTGGAAATGTGCCCGGTGCCCCGGTATGGCAATAGGCTCACCCCCTATTACATGGGACTCGTAACATAAATAGTGAAAAGTGGGTGTTATTTCTGTGTGCACCTCTGCCTACCCCGGGGATAAAAAGGCGTGATGTTATGTTATGTTATGTGTAATTAGAAATTATAGGCCCAGGTTTCCTCACGATGTTTTCCTTCACCGTTTATCAGTGGTGTCTAAATAATCTTAGAAAGTACATATACCTCGGAAAAGTCACATTGGTACTTGCCGTTGGTAGGTTTTGAACTTGCACCCTCATGCATCTTAAACCTGCGGGCCACCATGCCTAGCTACTATGATCATCAATAATCTTTACCAGTCCACATTTGAACTATGAGTCTCCTCTACATAAGAGGGTTCACTATAATCTCCATGTTTAACGTGTTAGAGATCGCAGTATAAAAGGTTCAGGTTCAAGTCTATCAGAGAGCACTGCTGCCCCGTCTCTGTCAAATGTGTAGTCCCTTAGTCGGGTATACGACACCCACCGAATGAAGTTAAGGATTTTCTCACAGCGCGATTTGCGCAGAAAATTGCGGTCCCGTGAGTTTTGAAAATGCCGCGTCCATTTCGCCACCGCGTCAAGCGCGGGAGAAGATCGCGCCGTGACTCCTTAGCCTGAGTCGGGGTGATATTTTGTGTATTCAGCCTTTACAAATTGAAGGTCTTACCAATTGTATCTTCCTCCGTTGCGTTCCTGGACTGCGGTGCGGTGCCGGAGTATGACGCAAGGCGACGCTGCCGGTGTAAGGGTCTAGGAGCGCCTGGTACGCTGACCTATCCTCCTGTGTCGATGCTGATATTACATCTGGGGAGTCTAGATCCTGAGAAAATAAAATAAAGAAAGTTTAAAGTCAAAATCATTTATTTAATTAGTCCAATATTAGGTACTTTTGAACGTCAAAATACAAACTGGCTATATTTCATCAACAACCCCTAAACCAACTCTTATCTAAGAGTTACTTAGTGTGAGAGACCACCTAAACAAATCCCTAACTTATATTTATATTTATTTATATTAATTACAACGGTTACACCAATGACAGCAATTAATTAATTTGTTATAAGACCATTATATCAATATTACAAATACACATTCAAATCCATGTCAACATTAAAAGAAATATAATAAAATAAAATAAATTTCAACTTAATGTCAGAACCTAAACCATATGAAATGTCAAGATTAATCAGAAAATATCATTATGTCAAACTTGTCAGACTCAAAGTACCCACAAAACATTTGAAAAAAAAAACAGTAATAAATATTATATTATAGTAGGTTCGTAAGAATTAAGTCACAATAAACCTACATGTTATTTACAATTTAGTACAACATTTTCACAAAATTGTATGGTCAACAGTACAATTTGGTTAAACCTGTCGGCTAATACGTCACAATCGGGTAGCTCCAGAGTGAGGGCATTGATTGCGCTGCGCATGCTACAAAGCGGGGAGTGCGCGCGTGATACAGTGCGGCACCGCGGGTTCACGAGTAGTCTGTGCCGGCGGCCGTGGCGGTGGCGCAGGTAGTTGTCTGGGACGTAGATGGTGCATAATAGATTATGTAATTCTGGTGAATCGATAACACTCCGCAAAATCTTTAGTGCAGTTATGATCTGTATCCGAGAGCGCCGTACAGCCAGAGAGTTGTATCCCAGAGTACCCAGCAAAAAATTCGTAGGGTACATATATGGATAGTATCCGTACTTACTCCTGTACAAGTAACGTAGAAAGGCCTTTTGGATCTTTTCTATTACTAATGTGTACGTCACTTCATATGGACTCCAAACACATGCCGCAAATTCCAATTTGCTTCTAACAAGGGAATTGTACAAAATTTCGACTATTTTCGGGTCCCTAAAATCTCGCGCATTACGCAAAACAAAGCCCAGACGTCTATATGATTCGGCGGCCACTGAGGAGATGTGTTCGTGAAATGTGAGGCGACAGTCAAACGTCACACCAAGATCACGGATGCCATAAACACGAGTCACCTCAGTATCGCCCAATGTGTACACAGCCCGACCAGGCTGCGACTTGCGGCTAAACGTCATAACATAACACTTGCTTGTATTAAAATATAATTTGTTGGTCAAACTCCACTGCAATAAGCGGTCAATATCGTTTTGAAGATCGTCACGAGTGCAGTTCTCGGATATTTCAAGGACCAATTTCAGATCGTCTGCATAAAGTAAACATTTAGCATGCTGCACCACACTGACAAGATCGTTAATCATTAAAAGAAAAAGTAATGGCCCCAGAATTGATCCTTGACTCACCCCCGACAACGTATAATATGACCTCGAATGAAAGCACCCGTGAGAAACAAACTGTTTGCGGTTCAATAGGTAATTTGCAAAAAAATGCAAAAGGTTAGGCGTGAATCCTATGGCCTGTAACTTGCTCAGCAAAATATCCCCATCAACTGTGTCGAATGCCTTTCTAAAATCAAAATAAAGAACATCCACCTCGTGACCCCTGTCCAGACCCGCTGAGACGTAGTCAACAAGTGACAACAGATTTGTTTCAACTGATCGGCCTTGTCGGAACCCGTGTTGTTCATCACATAAATGTGATTTTAATTGATAGTAAAGTTGTTTATGTGTAACTGTTTCAAACACTTTAGCTGGACAAGACAAAACAGCAATAGGACGATGCTCCTCCACGGAAGATTTATTATTGGATTTTGGTATCGGCGCGACCCGAGACAACTTCCACTGGTCCGGATAAGTGGCACTTTTGAGTGCCAGGTTCATTATATAGGTTAGTGGAGGAGCGAGATAATCCCTACATGCTATTAAAATATATGGTGGAATCTTATCGGGGCCTATGGAACTCCGCGGTTTCAATTTAAGAATTCCGTTCCTGACCTGAGCTATAGTGTAGTTCTCTATATGTATGTAGCCCCCGTCTGTTGCAGCTGTGATAGGCACTATATCATCAGCATCCAACATTGGCATCCAACTTGTGCTGTTAGATGTCTTTTATAGGTTGATGAAACCTAAAATGTCTTGTGTCAACTATATTAGCTTAGGGATTACTTAACCCTGAGGACACGGTGGAACACACTGTAGCGAAATGCCCTGCGTGGGCTGAGCACCGCCGTGCCCTCTGAAGTGATCGGCGTTGGCGACCTCTCGCGTCCCGGCCTAGTCCAGGTCATGATGCGGAGCGAGAGGGACTGGGATGCCGTCTCCTCATTTTGCGAAGCAGTTATGCTAGCTAAGGAGGAGGCGGGACGCGTAAGGCAGCGAAGCGTTGCCTCCTAACAACCCGGCCATCGCGAAGGACACTCCGGGCGCCGGGGATCGCGGGACGATCTTCGGCCACCGTGAGCACGGGTCTGTCAACGGCGAGCATAGGTAGCTCGCCACCCGACCAGAACCAGACCCAATCGTACGGTACGTCGCGTTCCGTGCGCGCTTCCAAGAGCCGTCAGACCACCACAGATGGGGCCCAACAGGGCTGATGCCGATACGGAGTCGCGGAGAACCTAACGGGTTACCGGGGCTCCAGCTCGAAGTGCAGGAGTAGGAACTTCCTCACACACTTCCTCTTGCCTCACCCAGGCGGGAGCAGTCATTCGATGATTTTCCCCCCTTAAAAAAGTGGATTACTAATAATTTAGGGCAGGTTGATAAAAACGGGGATTAACATAACTAAAAGTCACTTTACGAGAATTTGAATGTTCAAGTAGTACCTACCACATACTTGGGGTATGTGTGACGTCATCATTTGATGATTAACCACACAAAATTCTTCACGCCCGGATGCGATCAGAATCCTGTACGATAAGTGTGTCATACATATATTTATTTATATCTTGGTCGCTATAATTAAATAGATCGGACTAACTTACCTGTGACGTCCGATCCTCAATTGTGTAGGTAGCGTCATCCTCGCTAATTATACTAGTAGTAGGCACTAATCTGGGCACGCTGTCACAATATTTAAAGATGAACACATTCATAAAAAAATATTTATACTCTATGGTCATCTCACTGGCAACATCATTTACTTCAAAGCATACCTGCAACTGCAACACAACTCGACCAGGGGTAAAAATAAACATGTTTATTATCCGGGAAGGGTTGGGACCTAGCGAGGATGACGCTACCTACACAATTGAGGATCGGACGTCACAGGTAAGTTAGTCCGATCTATTTAATTGTATAGGTAGCGTCATCCTCGCTAATTATACTAGTAGACGTTCAAAGAAGGAGTTGTGTTGACAAACAACACTGTTTAATCATTGAACATTGTTGCACTTAAACAAGATATATGACATTGTCAATAACATCAATATCTCACGAGTACTATATAGTACTAGTAAAAACTTAAGCAATAATCAAATTACGTTTATAATTTCCCCAAGATGTAAGCCACTAAACCATTATTAGATATAATAGCTACTTATGGTTATGGTATTGTTTTCAATCATTTTTATCAAATAAAAATACTTATAAAATTAAATACATTTTAAAAATAGTATTAAAAATAAACAGAAGCCCAAAGCACGGGTTATCTTAGTTTGGGTTCCTGACTTTCATCATTGTATTGTCAGGTAAACTGCATTAACCCTATGTAGAACCAAAGTGAAGTGAAGAGAAGAAACAAGCTTATGTCAATATTATAAGATTAATATTAAGATCTACATCATTATGTATTGTGATGGAAAAATAATTAAATGTCCTTATTTATTAATTTAATTATTTAGTAAGCATAGCAACAATATTATTATCTTGAAATTCTGGTGTCCACTACACCAACTATAGGTACACCTACTATGTACGTTTTGAACTATAACGTTGTTCAAATTCAGTCTATTGCGAAAATTTAACGTCTTTCAATAGGTTGTTTTCTTCAAAATTATCAGTTTCTTTTTTTTTTTTTTTTTTTTGTATATATATTATCTAACTTCTCCATTTTCAGTAGATCTACATTATGATCATGACTCCATACATAGTGATATACAGAGCTAATAAGCTCATGCAATATTAGGATTGTTGGTGGAAAAATGGATTGACTGACCAGGCAGTCGTCTTACTTAAATATATGACTTTGATACTGATTGATACATCTCTGTGAGGCTTTAGAAGAGGTTGAGAGTCCACTGTTATAGTACTAGACATACATTCACTTGAAATTGTAGAATATGATTGATCCCAGAACAATGATTTAAAAATTGTTCTTAAAAATAAAAAATAGTAGGTAGGTAGGTACTATTAAATATGGTTCAGGTTTATTGGCATTATCATTTAGGTACAATCTATAGTGATAGAGATAGTGTGAATTATATGTGCTAATTAATTGATGTTTTAAACTAAAGTTTTAAGCTAAGATTATCATTGGAGTACATACAGGTACATAATAATATTGATTTATTTAGATTGTCATGTACACAATACAATAAAGTTACGGTACATGGTGAACTTGATTCCAAGTGGCATATTCTACCAGTAACCCTCAGGGTTTTAAATAATAATTGTAATAATACACAATTATGTACCTATTTTAGAATAAAACTGGAACCGCACACCACATATTAAAGTTTCTTTTTCTTTTTGGCCTTAATTTGTATACACTTCTAAAAAATCTTGTAGGTAGTTTCTTAATAATTTCACACAAGAGGACCTAGGACTAATGAAGTACCTATCTAATAGTATTCAATAAACTGTATGATAGGTAAATTTAGAAGTAAAAATATAATAATCACAACGGATACATATGCTGAAAAAGTCAAAGCAAAGTCGTATTGCTGTTTTGTTTTACTTTACAATGTGATGCTAGCATTATTCCCATAGAATGCAGTACCTATTCCTTTTCTTAGGAATTCATTCCTGATTATATGGTGGTGACTACATTGTATATGTTGTGTAAAGTGGGTGAACTTCTGGAAGGAAACAACCAGAGATAACACTAGAACTTAATGAGGTTCAGAAACTTGAGTTGAACCGTGGGTATCAATAATGGATCCTAATAACCTTTGCATATACCCCCCCCCCCTTTATCTCTTTATGACTTTTAAAATTCCGAAAAGAAGGAGGGCATGGAAAAAGAATCTTCCTGCACTTACTGAATAGTGAAAACAACAGTAAAGATATCAGGGTCAGGAACCCATGATACATATATTTCAGTCTCTTATACTTGTTTGCCTATAGATCTTTGGCGTGATACACCAAGTGGTTTTGGAGGCAAACTTTGATTTAAACTCGTGCGAATGGGACATCTGAGTTTATTTAGGTATTTCTTTACCGGCCTTATTTTCTTTTAAGGTGTAAACATTTATTCTAGATTAACTTAAATAACAAGTGTTCAAGTTCTTTTTGGTAAAACAGAACGTATTTGACATCTGATGTTTTAATGTCAACATGTCAAACAAACGTAAATATTGTTTACAGTGAATATTTTGTTGTGCGTATTCGCTTAATAGTTATTATATTGGCCTTACAATTTCAATTATTAACCTAATTTTAACATGGAGCCAGCCAAATTCCATAGCTGGGCGAGCAAACAATGTTAACTTTAAAGTTGAACGGAATCAAAAATCTGCAACTTTTTGTTTAGGTCATACAATTTTCATTATACTTGTAATAAAATCCACCTTTTTAAGTGGCACTTATATAGAGTTGTCTAGAGTAAGAAATTAATCCTATATACTGAAAGAATCACCCTTTTCAGTATAAATAATATTTAATACTATACCAAGTTTACAAGAATACTTCTGTAAGGTTCTGTATTAGTAATATAGTCTAGACATTTCTTATGTTCTGCAAAATTAAGGAATATCATCAACATAATTTCGTGTAATCAATACTATACAATGTATAAGGTTACTCTTTGGGAAGACAAATAAGAACCGCAAATGTTTGTCATTCACCATTTTCCTTCACTGATATTAAATAAAATGCATTCTTAAGTTGATCATGCATCTGAAGACACTTCAACATATGAGGAGTTTTAGAAATGGTTCTAGATCCATTGTTTATATTAATAGTAACATAATTTATTATAGTCCTTAATTATTTAATTGCCTGAAGGACCATTTGTTCTGGAATGTGAAGATAAACTGGCAAGTAATCACTTAGTCAGTTATCTACATATATGGTACAGTACAGCACCTTAGCTTTAACAATTTTCCTTCAGAAGTAAAATTATTTTGCTTTTACACCTATGTGGGTATTTTGTGGTATATTTGTCTGAACAGGAATATCAGTGATGGTAATTTATACCTATTAATCCAACTAAGTATGGTTGGGAAACCTAAAGCAGAACTCTATTGTTCAGAAAGGTAATGTGATCTACCTGTACTAGCGATGATCCGGACCTCAGTGCTGTGGGTAGAATTAGAAATTCTGTAGAGGATGCATCGGCCTTGTTGATTTTCTTGTAATCATGTGTTCGCTTTAGTTTTGGTTTTTGCTCACACACACACACACACACACACTTGTTGTTTGTACATCACACAGTGTTTGTTGATGTGGTTGGCATGAAGTTGGTAGTCTAAAAGGTTTTCTTGGATGTTCTCCAATTCAAGTTTAGACTCTCTGATAGCTTTACTTGCAATAAACTTGTCTTGAAGCACTATTTATTACTGTATATATAGCTAGAACACCTATTTGTGTTCTGATCTTCATTCAGGGGCACATGTTAATAATTTACAGAGCAGTCTGGCTGTATCCTTAAAATCTTTAATAGGTTTGTTAATTAATTTGCGAACAGTAACTGCTCCTAGAGTCATTTGATATTCACAATCCTATCGTCTCACTCAATCCCATCTTTATTTAGTGGCACCTCCTCCCCTCCTCATTTATTTGAGACATTGGGAGGAATTAGGTTATAATAATTATGAAAAGGGAAAATAAGTGTAATCATTTGATAAGAATGGCTTTGTCCAACATGCAACACTATGGAATAGCTGGCTAAGGAAATGTCCCATTTCCCATAAGCATAGGTAGCAATTGCTCCGGAGTATATTTACTGACTGGAGCGAGACTATAGGAGTAGTTTCCAACTCATGTTGATTGGCTTCGGTGCCATGCCATGGTGAGCGGCTTCAACTGGAATGGCTTCATGTTCTTCTGAGGCAAAGCGAACTGATTTTAAGTTTCTAACTGCAAGGTAGTTTAAATGATCCACGGCTAACCTCTCGTGAAAGCTCTAGGATTGCAGTTGGAAATGTTTGACTAAATGTGACTTAAACCCGTGGCTAACCTCTCGTGAAAGCTCTTGTGGTTTGCTTCAAAGTCAAGTAACCAACGGCTGACCTCTCGTGAAAGCTCTTGTGGTTCGTTCCAAAGTCAAGTAAACCAATGGCTAACCTCTCGTGAAAGCTCTTGTGGTTAATTCTATAGTAGAGTTACCAACGGCCAACCTCTCGTGAAGGCTCTTGTGGTTCGATCTACAGTAAACATGTAACCAACGGCCAACCTCTCGTGAAGGCTCTTGTGGTTCGATCTATAGTAAACATGTAACCAACGGCCAACCTCTCGTGAAGGCTCTTGTGGTTTAATCTATAGTAAACATGTAACCAACGGCCAACCTCTCGTGAAGGCTCTTGTGGTTTCGATCTATAGTAAACGTGTAACCAACGGCCGACCTCTCGTGAAGGCTCTTGTGGTTTAATCTAGGTATATAGAAAACGTATAACCAATGGCTCACCTCTCCTGAGGGCTCTTATGGTACGTTTCAAGTGTGTATGTTGCGTACACAATCATTCTCAAGGCTATCCGCTTGTGGAAGCTATTGGAAAACGCCCCACAATGTGGTGTAAGTACCTACAAGAAAAAACTTACCAAACTGACGACAACGAATGCGTCCTCTCGCCGGTTTCGCCCAATTATCCAATTCCTGCATACACTCCATCAGTTTTCCTATCTGCTTGCGACGTTTTCGACCCATTTAGTAGGAAAATCACCAAATTAAATTGAAAAATTTTCCAGGGTACGACGTGACAGGTCGTGCACAAAGAAGTACAATGATGTTGCCAGTGAGATGACCATAGAGTATAAATATTTTTTTATGAATGTGTTCATCTTTAAATATTGTGACAGCGTGCCCAGATTAGTGCCTACTACTAGTATAATTAGCGAGGATGACGCTACCTATACAATTAGATACTTGCCAACAAATCAATTACAATATTTTTTTCGAACTGTCAATAACGAGAGTTTTCTATGAATTTTGTACGAGATTGTGTATTGTGACGTCACGTTTTTTTTTAGCGTCAAACAGCATACTTATTTCTTAAGAAAATACTGGAAAGGTATTAAAATGAAGTTGGTCATAAAATCAATTAATGAAAGTGTGATTATTTTTTAATATTTTATGTTTTATTTATTTTTTATGGTGGAAAATCATCGAATGACTGCTCCCGCCTGGGTGAGGCGGGAGGGAGTGTCAGACTCTTACTGACTAAAAACCACCCCGTTCCTTCTCCTGCACGTCGAGACGGAGCCCCGGTAACCCGTTAGGTTCTCCGCGACGGGTATATTACGGTTAGGAATAACACATAGGGTAGTTTTATACCGTGGGAACGCGGTTGTAGTCGCTGGCAGAAGCCAGTCAAAAATAGAATAGTCTGTCAGTCTGTCCGTCAGTGAAGTTCGATGTTCGTTACAAATGTAGATTGGTCTGGAGAAGACCGCCATTAAGATGGACAAAGCCGCGGGTTAAAACTAGTTGTTTAATATTATTTTCATTCTTTATTAAGAATGTTAAACATTTTATATAAATTTAAACAATTTATTTTCTTTAAGGAATGTATTTACGTAGTTATAAATGTAATTTTCAATGAAAAGAATTTAATAATAGAAATATATAACCACACATAACATAACATCACGCCTTTTATCACCGAAGGGGTAGGCAGAGGTGCACATTATGCCACTGTACAATATAATATACACTTTTCACTATTTATGTTATGAGTCCCATGTAATAGGGGGAGAACTTATTGCCATATACCGGGCACAAATCCAGACTCCGTGCTACTACTGAGATCTTTTTAAAAAACCCAGTAATACTTTGCCCGACCTGGGAATCGAACCCGAGACCCCTTGCCCGGCAGTCGCACTAGCGATCACTCGGCCAATGACGCAGTCCAATAAGAGAAAATACACTAAATGATGAATAATCATCATACATATTATGAGTTATTAAATCTATCTTCTATCTATTATATAAAGATGAAACCCGTTTCCCGTTGTCACGTCATAACTTGAGAACGGCTGGACCGATTTAGCTGATTTTTTTTTTGTTGTGTTTGTTATTGTCCGGAGAAGGTCTTATGATAGAAAAAAATCTTGAAAATTCTACAGGAACAGGAGAAAACGAGATCGCGCTTACGAAGTCGCGGGCAGAAGCTTCAATGTAATTTTTTTTTTAACTTTGCCCCACACTAGGATTGTCTCCTGTGTCGTGATTGCGTTTATACATACAATATCACATACACACGACACCCAGACCCGGAACAACAATCTGTGGATCACACAAAGAGTTGTTCCGTACGGGAATCGAACCCGCGACACGTTGCGCGGCAGCCAGTTGCCCAGCCACCGTGCCAACCATACAGTCAAATCAAATTCAAAAAATTCAATATAAAAATACTTAGAATTACAATATAAAGAAGAAGGTCCAAATATAAAAATACTTACGTTATGAATTCCTATACTGCTGGACATCTCGATCGGCAGCTCGAAGTTGGGCATCGACCTGAGATGGGACGGAGATTCGCACCACTCGGCGACCTGACAGACAAACACATACCTATCAGTGGAATCTAAAAGATATCTAATATCGAGATATGCAGTATGCAACATAGGCATATTACTCGATAAATGCTTAGTATAACTTGACTAAACAATTATTGAAATTTGATTTATTAGTTTCTGAGATTAATACAAATAAACATATCTTGTTAAATGGAGGGCGGTGATCTTCTTCAATTTAAGGGGCATATTAAACCGTTTTCACCATTTATTTTATAAGTCCCATGTAGTAAGGAGTGAGCCTATTGCCATATACCGGGCACAATTAAAGACTCCGTGCTACCTGAGAATTATTTTAAAAACCATGCAATACTTTGCCCGACCTGGGAATCGAACCAGAGACCCCTTACCCGACCACTCGGCCAACGAGGCAGGCATTAAACTTATCAATATTTCTTTTATCAACTACGTCGAAAAAACCAACTTCAACCCCCACCCCTCTTTTTTCTAAATCGGTTAAGTAATATACTAAAACACTTTTCCGATAACCGCATTAAAATTGGTTGAGCCAATCGCGAGATAATTGCGCACATACATACATACAGGTCAAATTGAGAACCACCTACTTTGAAGTCGGTTAAAAATTTCGACCAAATCACCACTCCTTAATAAAAACTACAAACTCACCGAATGAAACTCCTCATTGACAGTGATATCAACTGGTAAAGACTTGGGAGTACTCTGCTTAGTCTTCTCATCGATAAACTTCAACATAGCATCCACCTTCTGAGGCGTCCCATCTCTTAACTTCGGCACAATCTTCCTCCGTTCCATCTTATCGACCCTCGCCACATCAGGGGGCACTGTGAGATCCAAACCAGTAAAATCTTGACTGTCAGCCGTCACAAAAGGATCCGTAAAATACAAATTGTTTTTCGACGTATTCCTTTGTGGACTGTAGAAGCCATTATTCTCATTAGCCCTCTCATCTTCAATACTCGATAGGCTTAAATCTTTCTCCTCATCGATTTTCGGAACTTTTTTGGGGATCAGATCCGGATAATTCTCATCCGGACTCATTAGGGGGTGATTCGTGGTTAGAGTTAAAGTTGAACTGAATTTGGGGGGACTAATTCCTAGATTCTTAGGTCTAGGTGAATCTAAGTGCAAATTAGACATCTTAGTGATGAGACTATCATTAAATTTATCAGATTCTGTTAAGCGATGGATTTCTGGGTTCTGAAGTCTTAAGACCCCGTTCGGTTCTGGATGGTCTCCCTCGAAGTCTGATGATAGGACTGAGTTGGGAGTATCCTGAGATCGGAAGGATTCTGATCCTGTGTCCATCTTCTCATCAGAGGATGGTGATGTTAGTTCGTCGTCATTTAAGCGCAGTGTTTTGAAGTTACTGCAACAAAGAAATTACAATTGGTAAAACAATAGAAGGTTATGGCTTTTTTTTGAAAAGAGAAAGAAATATTGGCTAATTTTATCAATCTCGGGGGACATATTTAATTAGTTTTACAGCATTTGACAAGGCAACAATAGGACGACGCAAGATACAAACATCGTATGCGGCTCAGGATTATGAGCCCCCAGCGTGGTTTGAAAATGGACGTGTTGCCTTGTCAAACAGTTAAGTGAATAAATCTTACTTATATTTATAAATCTGAAAGTTCGGAGTGTATGTTTATTACTCATTCAAGTCAAAACAGCTGAAGGGATCGAGATGAGATTTGGAACAGCGATAGATTGTGGTCTGGTATAACACAAAGGCTACTTTTTATCCCATGGGAACGTGGGCAGAAGCGAAATCATAAAACATAATCGAAGCAATGACTTTATAGACATCAAGTATGATTTAAACTTTATATAACTGCTGAGGACAAAAAATCGGTCTGGTATATGCACGCTTATCGCGAACTGCAGTAGTATTTACTGAACCGGTGACGCATTATAGAAACTCGGTTCAAAGTACATTCATATCATCCTTACTAATATTATAAATATGAATGTATGTTTTTCTTACGTCACTACAGAGTAATTTTATTGTGTGACTAGCTGTTGCCCGCGATTTCGTCCGCGTAGAATATGAATTTTAGGACCTAACTTTTTTTGTTATGCCTATGTTACTCCTTAGTACATCGGTTAACTGCCAATAAAAGTCCCTTCAAAATTGGTCCAGCCATTTCAGAGATTAGCAAGAACAAACAGACAGACAGACAAATTTTTTTTTAAAATGTTATTTCGGTATAAGCATTTAAATGCATATTAATATGCATTTAGTAAAAAGCGATTATTTTAATATTACAAACAGACACTACAATATTTTTTCATTCTAGAGATAGTTAGGAAGCTGGAAAATTATCTGAGTGAGTATTATCTGAGAATATAAGCTATTTTTCTTTATTCTGACCATGCGAGTGAAGACGCGGATAACAGCTAGAACACATAATATATCGAAAGCTCATGACAGTTCTCTGCTGGATGGGACTTCTCTACTTAGAGCTCGGCTTCAAAGCCTCGAACACAGGCGTAAGGTTGCAAGCCTTTCAGTCTTCTACTGGATATATTTCACGTGTGCAGGGGAATTGCACAACTTGATTCCCCCTAGTCCTATCCATCATCGTACCACAAGACAATCAGCGAAGCGTCACCGATTCATGGTAGATGTACCCACACGTAAGAAGCGCTTCGCATCAAGCATCCTTGTGCGTACTGCTAAAGAATGGAATTCTTTGCCTGAGTCTGTATTTCCTGAAGGTTATAACCTGGGAGTCTTCAAGAGTCGAGTGAATAGGTCGCTTATGCGACGACGTGCTCCAATGTAGACCGCATCATAGTTTACCACCAGGCGAGATAGTGGTCAAACGTCGCCGATCAAATATAAAAATGGGAGGTTCCGTAATCTCCTCGCCTACCTCCTCCATAGGAATCTACACCTTGGAATGAGCAAATAGTTTCACTTTTAATTTTTTTGCTGACATTCAAAAGTACCTTTGTGGTCTAAAAGGTAATACCTAAATGCCACAAAAGATTTTTGAAATTTGATGCAGTCGTTTAGGTATTTTTGCGCATACATACATTTCTGCGAATCGGTTTTATTTGTAGAATAAATTAGATAGATAGATAATGATTCACGTTGTTTGTAGGTCATACGGTGTCATGTATATTTGACATACTTATATGTATGTATGTGCCGTGTGTTGACAACAGTAGAATACATATTTCGTCACAACCCCTACTTACTCTCTTTCCAAGGGTGTCATAACCGGAGCCACTGAAGACTTAACGGGTTGCCGGGGCTCCGGCTCGAAGTGCAGGAGTAGGAACGGGGTGGTTTTCAGTCAGTAAGAGTCTGACACTCCCTCTCGCATCACCCGGACGGGAGAAGTCATTAGATGATTTTCCTGCCTCAACAAAAAGGGTGTTCTAACAGCCTGAGTAAAGGACTATGTACACATTTGACAGAGACTAGGATGTTGCCTGATAAAGCTGAACTTTTTAAATAAGATCTCCAACTCGCATGAGAACCGTGGAGATTATGCTGCTTAACTCCATGAATCAGAGGAAGCCCACAGCCCACTAGTGGACCATCACGAACTATTGACATTGTCATAACACAGGATACAAAGTTTGCCGACACAGATAATCTATCTACACAAATAAAAAAAATCCCGTTCGTTAGTCTCGCTATAACTGGAGAACGGTTGAACCGATTTGACCTAAATTGGTCTTGAAATGTTCGTGGAAATCCAGGGAAGATTAAAAAATGAAAAAAGTTTTTGGCGGTACGAAGTGTGGGAGACCCATGCTTCGGCACGCATGGGCCGGCTTGACCGGAGTGATATTATGGCCGAGCAGAAAACCACAGTGAAACAACGCTTGCCTTTTGTTTCGTCGTGTGAGTGAGGTTACCGGAGACCCAATTACCTCCCCACCCCAGTCTACCCTATCCCCGAATCTTCCACAATCCTCAAATTCCCAGTTCCCAAAAGGCCATTACCGAATTTGTAACGCCTTGGTGTTCCTGGTGTCCATGGGCGACGCCGATTGCTTACCATCAGGTGATCCATCTGCTCGTTTACCAGCTTATGCCAAAAAAAATAGTTTGCCGGGTCAGCTAGTATTAATATAAAATTAGATTAGAACGTGTGTTAATGCGCTCTTAACATGTGCAGTGTCAAGGACACGCCAACTGCGCAGGGGACATTACAGTACATCTGCGTGTACGCATATTGCACTGTGATCTTTATTTTTAGTGTTACATCGAGTACCATGTAATGAAGTGTTATGTATAATATTATTAAATTAAAGGACAGTTTTTTTTAAGGGGGGACCATCAAATGACTTCTCCCGCATACTTTTATGAAAATTGGGGTGTTTCGCCTACAGCCTATATTTTTATTTGGTACTCCTTCCCGTCAAAACGACAGAAGGGATTTTTTTTATGTGGGGAGAATCATCGAATGACTGCTCCCGCCTGGGTGAGGCGGAGGGAGTGTCAGACTCTTACTGACTAAAAACCACCCCGTTCCTTCTCCTGCACGTCGAGCCGGAGCCCCGGTTACCCGTTAGGTTCTCCGCGGCTCCGAATCGGCATCGGCCCTATTGGGCCCCATCTGTGGTGGTCTGATGGCTCTTTGAGGCGCGCGCGGAACGCGACGCGCCGTACGCTCGGGTCTGTTTTGTGAGGCGGAGGGAGTGTCAGACTCTTACTGACTAAAAACCACCCCGTTCCTTCTCCTGCACGTCGAGCCGGAGCCCCGGTTACCCGTTAGGTTCTCCGCGACACGACAGAAGGGATAGAGTAAAATATGGTACAGAAGTAGATTTTTTTATGGCATAAGCCGGTAAACGAGCGGACGGATCACCCGATGGTAAGCAATCGGCGTCGCCCATGGACACCTGGAACATCAATCAATGCGAACACCAAAACCTCTTTTGTTAAATACTAAAATACTATACCTTATCCTAATTGTAACAGTTTTTTGAAAACCACATCAAAATCGGTTTGGCCAATCGCGAGTTTATCGTGCACAAACATACATTCATGTCTAAATAAGAACCTAATTTTATTGAAGACGATTAAAATACATATTATATACTTCATATCGTAAACAATGAAGTTATAACCTCGTACATAAGCCGTCGTTAACGTCAGGAGAAAGTATATTATAAAGAACAATAGTTCATAAGTTACCATATTTATATACACTTTCAATACTTAGGGAACTACTTTCTAAAATATCTTAATTGGCGTTGTTAACAGGTGCTTGTGTCTTGGTGATGGTTAGGAACATATTTATCACTCTTCCCGGGGGTGTCGTAGGTTTGAGGGACTACAATTTTGCAAACGAATAAAATTTTTATCTTACAACATCACGCCTTTTATCTCCGGAGAGATAGCTTTTTTATTTTATTTTTTAAAGGGGGTAAATCATCGAATGGCTGCTCCCGCCTGGGTGAGGCGGGAGGGTGTGTCAGACTCTTACTGACTAAAACCACCCAGTTCCTTCTCCTGCGCTTCGAGCCGGAGCCCCGGTAACCCGGTTAGGTTCTCCGCAACACGGAGAGGTAGTTAGAGATGCACATTACGGCACTTTATGCCACTGTACAATGTAACACCCACTTTTCACTATTTATGTTATGAGTCCCATGTTATAGGGGTTGAGCCTACTGCCATATACCGGACACAATTCCGGACTCCGTGATACTACTGAGATTATTTTTTTAAACCACAGTAATACTTTGCTTTGCGTTTTGGAGATAGGTTATTAAATTTGGTAGTTACTAGTCTAATTGGAATCACTACATAGTATAAAACAAAGTCGCTATCCGCTGCCTGTCTGCCCCTATGTATGCTTAGATCTTTAAATCTACGAAATGGGTTTTGATGCGGATTGTAGACATAAATAGTGATTCATAAGGAAGGTTTATATGTATAATACATGCATAATATAGTAGGAAACACTGATAAATTTAGAGGTTTCTAATGTGATGTCGTAAGCACGTTTTTTTCCGCTTACATTGCAAACGCTGGCTGAACCCTAGGAGATAGACCAAAATAATGTACCACAGTATTGTCCACCTTAAACTGTCAAACACCAAGCGGTCACCGGTGACCGCAACCTATTGTTCTATAATTGTGTCTATAATGAGTTAATTGTCTAATGCCAAAAATGCTGTGAACGTTGTGTATAAGGACATTCTGTAGTAGGTATATTTATATGAGCATTGCCAAGCCAGGCCGGGCCATATATAATGTACTACAGCTGAAGATTGAAAGAAAGAAAATAAAGAAAAGCTCAGTGGCATGCTATTGCGGAGGCCTATGTCCAGCAGTGGACGAGAACAGGCTGTTGATGATGATGACGATGATAAATAAAATAAATAGATTTTGATTATAAATGGTTTAAGAGATATGTCTATGTCTCTTTTAAATGTGCTGATATATCGTACTGAAAATCCCTAAAATATATTCACACAAAAGTAGTGTCTAAACATCGGAAAGGGCTATAATGGTCAGTGGAGAGCGGTACCGAAGACCGCTTGGGGACCGGGCACTACAAAAACAGTTTTGAATGAAATCTGGTATAGAGATACCTAGATTATAATGTAGAACATATGAGGTACTTATTATGCCAGCAATGCAAGCGTACTCGTTGGCAGTAGCTAGAGTTTAAACTGTCAAACACCAAGCGGTCACCAGTGACCGCAACCTATTGTTCCATAATTGTGTCTATAATGACGGTACTCAATGAGTTAAATAAATAACATATTCCACAAAACAGTAGACAGAGATGCACAATTGCACATACACAATCTAACACCAATTTTTCCCCATTTATGTTATGAGTCCCATGTAATAGGGAGTGAGTCTATTGCCATATACCGGACACAATTCCAGATTCCTACTATAACTGAGAATGCGAAAGAAACAGGAAATCTGTAGTCAGTAATGGTTCGCCTGACTTGGAAATCAAACATTGCACCACTATTTTCCAATTTCACTCATTAGAGAGACCTCTGAGTTTGTTTCAGTGTTTCTTCTCATAGTAGTCAGATAGGAAATATCTGCCTCATCGATCTTAGTTTCGCAATATGTACGTGTAAAAATGCTATTTTATAGTCTAATAGTAGCAGGTAATATACATATTATCTACCATTAAAGTGTTCCACATTTTATGGACCTTTCTTACTTATAAGTACCACTATACTACGTATTTACCATGAGAAACCAATAAAGGAAAAATTAAAACCAGTATGCACGCATCTAATAACACTTTTTCCTCAAGATATAATAAAATAAACAGCAATTGTGGGTAGCCAGAATCAAAGGTACTAATTTAACTTTTACACAAAAAACCTGTTCTAGAATTACCTGTACGTTCTATAAATAAGCAAGCGCATCATATGCAAAACAGAAATTAAAACTTAAGCACAAAATGCACACGAATTCAAGGAGAATTGAATAAAATATCGAATAACTAATCAAGATTGACACTTCACTTTTTAATTCCAAAAAAAAATAAGTATTTAACTCGTTTAATCAAATATATTATAGTACTCACCTCATTTGTAACTTCGTCGGCTTTACAATGATGTATTATTTTGTGGTAAAAAATGTATTGGATTAATATAAAAAAAATATTTTGTATCGCACGAGTGTCATTGAAAATCGCATCGCTACCGTTTTGACAGCTAACGTTTCATTTTACGATTTCACGCTAGAAATCGTTGTTTATGTTAAGGATGCGTTCAAGCTAAACTAAAACAAGGTTTTAGGGATCAGTATGCACTTTGAAGCAATTTTCTATAAACAATACGTATTTTGCATTATTTGAATCACTGAAATAAATAAAATTGAATGACACATTATGTAACTATTGTGCATTCAGTATTAAGAACAATGTGAAAAAATTCTATATTTTAGTACAAAACGTCACAAAAACTCATAAATACTACTACACGCTCTCAATAAAAACATAAAATAATACTGACCTGATGAATAAGGTTGGATTTATAACACAACAATGAATGGGAAAGACAATGGTCAAGTTCTTAGAACGTAACTTATGCAACTGAAAACACATCGCGAAATCGGCCGCAAAGTACACAACAAACTGTTTTTCCCTCATTTATCGGCAAACTTGACGATTGATTATTGTTCCGCGATTTATTAGTGGTGCTACATCTACAAATTTTACAATGGGTGAGTCCTTTAATTTTATTTTAATGTAATAATTCCCTATTATTATTGTGAATCCATGCATTTCGTCAAAATGGAATTTTATTACCTATCAAGAAATAGTTCCAATTGTATCTAATTAATCAAAAGCGTTTAAATAAGATCAAGAGAAATGATTCCTGTGACTGTTAAAAGTAAACAGATAAAGTTCGCACAGAACTTATTAGTCTAATATTTTTGTGATGATCCGGTTTCCGTGTTTTCAAATCTGTGTTGTGAAGATTTGGATTATTATGCAAAACATCAATGCGGATGCACACATTTTATGTTTGTTGAATTTTTTCGCGGAAACGCGAACATGTTTCTCCTTTCTAGACGGTGTCATCTGGGTGACTGTTGGATGACTGTTTTATAAATATTAAACAACGAGAAATGTATTTCTAGGCCGTGATTCACAAATTTGACTTAGTTAGTATTAAGAGTTTGAGAGTAGAAGGTGGCTAAAATTATTTCTACAGGTGAAAATCAGGTTGTGAAAATGCAGCTGGGAGCGTTAATTTTTTTAATATACCTCGTATTTCCCGCCATATTTGCTGAGGATGTAAGCTGTAAGTTAAATGTTTTATAATATTTTTTATTAAGACGAAATGTTCAAGTTACATTTCTTCCAAAAATTTCAAAATTCTGTTACCTATGTCAAAAATATTTTTTTAATACTTTTAAACTTTTAATCCAAATTATAACGTTTTCAATTCGATTTTTTTGTTGCTACAGCATGTAGGTATCAAAAATCCCTTAAAAACCGAGGTCTTGTTGATTTTACTACATAAAATGCATACAATTGAAATCGTTGTCTACGTAAGAACCGTAGTATCATTGAGCTATTGTGTTGTATATAAACATTATAAAAAGTCCAGCTAATTAACAGTAGTGTGCAGTTACTCTCATTCATGACCAAACATCGTGAAATAACGAAGTGAAATATCATTTTGTGACATGTAAAATATATTTGGTGGGCTCATTATAAGATTTCAACCACTTATTGATATTTTAGTATTTAAAACTGTCAAACACCAAGCGGTCACCGGTGACCCCAACCTATTGTTCTACAATTGTCTATAATGTCGGTACTCGACGAGTTAATGCCCTTTTCACACGCTCCAGTATCTGGATAATCGGTGACGGGTAACCCATGACAAAGTGTATTACCATTAAATGGTAGTTTTCCCAAATAATACTTACGATACTTTATAAAGGACATTGGATTAGGCATCTGGATCCCCTTAAGTGACCACCGGAACTTGTAAGGAGGTTTTTAAAGTTTTTTATAAATCAAGTTTACAAGTTATTTTCAAGTTAAGTTTCATAAACTATCTCAAAATGTAGCTGAATGTTTCAGACCAAGCGTGTGTTGATAAATACTCAAGAAAAGGCTACCAACCTTGGCAAGAATGGTCTGATCATTACACGTGTCATAGATATAGATGCGAGATACGAGATGGGAAGTACTTCATAGCTGCTGTTGGGTAACTATCTGCGGAAATTAATAACCAATCTCAATGCTAATTCTCTGGATTGAATTAGATTTTTGACTAAAATTCAATAAAATTATTGTCGAAAATAAATCTCTATTATCTTCGGCTTTAGATCCAGATTAGATCGATTCGGTCAACAGAATTCGCATTAACATAAGTCATTAATTTCGGCCGTAGGTATCACAAATTAAAGTCTTTTTGAAAGTGGAAAAATGTAAAAATTTTCTGTCAAACATTTCTTTTCTATCAGTTCGTTTATAAATTAGTCCGACGTATGATCTAATCTATGTGCTATCTACATAATAGTTTTTAAGTTTTTTTTTTAATGGGCCGACATTTGATCACTGTCTTGCTTAGTGGTAAGCGATAATGTGGCCTACAATGGAGCACGCCTGCCCATAAGCAACCTATTCACTCGGGCCTTGAATACGTCCAGGTTATACCCTGCAGGAAACCCAGACTCTGGCAACGAATTCCACTCCTTAGCAGTACGCACAAAGATACTTGATGCGAAGCACCTCGTGGGTGTGGTAGGGACATCCACCATAGTGCATGCATTACCATTTTTCATTCCAATAAATGTTGCATAAAGTAGTAAGCTACATTACACATACAAATTATCGAAAAACCGAAAAACTCCATTAGCTCTTCAGCCCGGTAGTAGAACTTGCGATCAATCGATAAACGAGGCAGTATTTTTTTTCTAATACTAATCTTAAATTGACCCATCAGATGTAGAAAGCCGAAAATACCCGAGAACGCATTGGAATGTCATGAGTACATTGAAGACGAGAACGTTGGTACGTATTGAATGTTTATTTATTGGATAAACAATTTAATATCAACAAGATATTGTTTACGTATATAATAATTCTTCATTTCATTGAAGAATAATGTTGATTGTGACCTACTCATTACAATTTTCTCATTGGTACAGAGTTCCCGACTTGCTGCGCTCGTCTAAGGTGCGTCGTCGAAGTAAACGGTGAAAGAATTGTACAAACAAGAGGCCAACCAGGTGAACTCTTCCCTGACAAGTAAGTTTAATTATCTACTGGATAAAACTCGTTTTATTAATCAGACGAATAATACAAGTTCGGCTAATGCAGAATGTATAGATTATAGATTCAATATTATAAACGATGACTCATTCATTCTACAGGCCATGGAAGGGCCAACAGAACGAGCCCAACCCCGCAGTCGTGGGAATGAGCGGCATTCAGCAAAACACTGTCGGAGGTGAGCCACAGGGTCAACCCGCGCCAGGCATCTTCAACAGTAGAGGAGCAGGCAAGGAGAAGTTGTTATTAGCTCTTGATTAGAACGCCTCCTTGAAACTAATTCGATCAATTCTTACTTTACAAATTATTGTAATAGTAAACGGACCACTAAGAATATTTTTGACATATCTACTTTTAGTGAATTCGTACGTTTAGCGCATTTTAAATACATAGATATTCTTTATCAATGCAATGTTTAATATTAAGCCATGCTTACTTTTGCGTACTATAATAATCAAAAGTCCTATTTTAAAAGTCGTTGATCTATAAAAATCCAATTTAATATTTTATTAGTTTTTTTAATGTTTTAACATTTTGATTCGCAACTTGTTGTAAAATAAAGCATTTTTCTACATTTTCTAAGTTTCATTTCTATTAGACGTAAGTCATACAAATTGCGAGTAGTTAAACGTCAATATTTTATTAATTTAGCCAACGATATTCCCGACAGCGGATGGCAACGATATTAATGGACGGCGCTACGTAGACCCTTACCCCAACCAACCTATGCAAGAGTCACCGAGAAAGAAGAGATCTACAGTCTACCCACTGTTCGATAAGACAAATGGCCGTGATTCCAGCTCCTATCAACTACACCAAGTCAAAATACACGGATATTCCCCTGAAAAATATACTTCCTACTTCACTAATAATAATCTTAAAAGTTTAACGAATCCTAAATTACCTCTCAATATAATGTCATAATTTTAAAGTACGTATTTATTTTGTTATTTGTAATATTGCACAATATAAATAATGTTTACTATTATTTGTATAACACTTGTTAGAAAGTAGTTTATACAATAGTAATGCAATTTCACTTTATTTTTATCGTTGTTCTGTTTTTCTTTTTTTGTTATTATGATGAAGCAATTTGTTAACCGCTGTATTTTGTTGAAACATTATTAAATGTTTGGTAAATCTTATGATTTCGATTTTAAATTATACGGAACCCTTATCACTAAAATATTATTTTTAAAGCAATAAAAATATTGACAAACGTTGGTGTAAAATGCATCATCTCACCTGTCAGGATTATAGGAACAGTCTATAAAGATAACATGTTAAGCATCACCATAATATGCTATCTCTCACACAATACCAACTTATATGTACTTGTCTCTTTTGCACACGGGACATGGTTCGAATAATTCGAATTTATAATTTTGTGTGGCTGGAACGCGAATGTCAAATCAAACTATTTTCCGGAGCCCGGAAGAGAATCGAAACACTGCAAAAGAAAACTATTATATTATGAATTTAGTTTTTAATTACAATTGTATACATACTTAGTTAGGCATAAGTGAAATAATTTTTACACTACAAGTGACATTCTTTGTATTTTGTTTACACACCACGAAATTGATTAACAATAAGATTGCTTGAAGAATGTAAACAGGGAAAAATTTGACGATTAATTGGATTTATCAGTGCAAATTGTAGTTAAAAATGGTTGAACCGGCGAAGCCTTTTGCCTGTACGTTGCCTGACTGCGGCATGACATTTACAAATGAGGACCATTTACATGTTCACACAAAAAAACACGATATGGTGTTATCTTTGGGAATGGAACAAAAAGCTGCATTTGTCGGTAAGTCGTTGTTCTAACCATCCTCTTTCATAAGTAACTCTTACAAGCGGGCTAAGAAGTTCTCTAGTGTTACCAAACTCGAAACAACAATTTGTCTATCAAACAGATTTGTTTCGTGGGGGAATTACCAGCCGCATTGCTAACCGTACAAGCTTAAGACAACATTATGTTACGGATGGGGCTCAATAGGGCTGATGCTGATACAGAGCCACAGAGGACTTAACAGGTTGCTGGGGCTGTAGCTCGAAGGGTAGGAGTAGGAACGGGGTGATTTTTAGTCAGTAAGCATCTGGCACTCCCTCCCGCCTCACCCAGATTTGATGATTTTCCCCCCTTAAACTGTCAAACACCAAGCGGTCACCGGTGACCGCAACCTATTGTTCTTTAATTGTGTCTATAATGACGGTTCGACGAGTTAAAAAAAAGACAACATTATGTTAATAATATTAAATTACTTAAGATAATTCATTAGGTTTTTTCATTTGCTAATTCAAATTTTTAACATCCTATCGTAACATACTGCAGATTAAAATGATCATCATTATCATCCTTCTTGAACATAGCCCTCTTCAAACTGTTGAGTGGTGGTGGTCCAGCTGTTGAGCTCAATTGTCAGCTCTTCATACTAATCACTGCTAGCTGCTTTGCAAATGGCCTGTAGATCCTCGTGCACAGTTGCAGCGGTTTTGGGAGATTGTGGCGGGCTTGTTCTAAAAAAAAAAGTGCGGCCTTTTGGGGACTTTGGGGATTAGGAGTTTGAGGATTGTTGAAAATTCATAGATTGGAGAGATCGGTGAAGGGAGGGGGTGGTAATTGGGCCTCCTGTAACCTCAAACATGACGAAACACAACCCAAGTGTTGCTTCACGTCTGTGTTCTGTGAGGTTGTGTTGTATCATTCCGATCGAGCTGGCCCATTTGTGTCGAAGCATGGCTCTCCTACACTTATAGTATAATAATGTATCCCATCATCAATGCCATTAAACTGTCCGACACCAAGCGGTCACCAGTGACCGCAACCTATTGTTCTATAATTGTGTCTATAATGACGTTACTCGACGAGTTAATTAGATATTTTTATTATCTTTTATTGATGATTCACATTTATTTGATGTTCAACTTTGAATTATCAAAATAAACGATTAGATAAGTTGAAATAACTCACTGCTGGCCAGCTATATTTGTTATTGATACTTATTAACCAACAAGCATGTATGAAAACACTGTTGACTGAAGCGAAAGAGGTACCTATGTAGGAATCATAGCAATTGGCATTCCATAGTCTCTGCCTACAGACAGACAGACAGGTGTGAAGTTATGTATGTAAGTACATACAAATAATGATGATAGTATAACATCACACCTTTTAATATTAAGTGAGTAGGCGAAGTCACTGGATGATTTTCTTCCCCCCCACAAAAATAAAAGAGGGACCCTGGATATAATAGGGTAGTTTCATAAATTTAATTTTAATGTCCGTCTGGTACATTAATTTAAAACTTTAGACACGTACCTTTTCTTTTCTCGCAAAATTAAATACTTTCGACGATTTTGAAACATCGTGTGACGTCACAGCGTGCCACATTTTGTAGCACGTTATGACGTAACGACCTCCCACTCCTAAACTTAGTCGCGGAGAACCTAACGGGTAACCGGGGCCCCGGCTCGACGTGCAGGAGAAGGAACGGGGTGGTTTTTAGTCAGTAAGAGTCTGACACTCCCTCCCGCCTCACCCAGGCGGGAGCAGTCATTCGATGATTTTCCCCCCTTAAAAAAAAAAAAACTAAACTTACCGCCATTTTATCTAAGTGTTACAATTTAATACGGGAAAATTTGTTTTTCATTATCTAACTGACGGACTAATTAGATTTTTTAATGTTGATACCCTGGCAACTACCCAATTATATTCCAAACTAGCCTAGTGTGAGTTGGACATGGATATGAAGAGTTCTGTGACGTGACAGCGTGGTTTGTGCCGCGGCTGTTGTGCAACTGGTTGCGGGTTCACAAAAATAATAAATATTACTTGTGTAGTTCATATCCACAAATTGTTGTTCCGAGTTGGAATGTGATTTGTACGAGAATTCTACATTCATAAACGCTGTTAACTTTTTTATAGTCAAAAAAACATATTTAAATCCACCACTCACCTTTAATTGTCAATTACTAGCCTGCGACTTCGTCCGCGTTGAATATAATTCCTGTTTTATCCCATGGGAGCATTTAATCGGGATAATAAGTATCCTATCACATAAGTCAGCACATACCCAGTCTGCATACTAAATTTCATTGTAGATTCAATGTGAATGACGATACGACCTTCAAACCTTCAAGAAAAGAGCGTATTCCTTTTTAAAAGGTCTGGAATTCCAGTGACTCCTTCGCTTACCATAGTTACCACCAGGGCGCTTACTCTTGAAACCAATCTCAATGTCAATGACAATTTTAATCCAATAAATTCTTAATAATTATTTAATATCAACACTATACAACCCCTATCGTAGCTGTTACAATAGCATTCAGAGTACGGAATATAACAAACTCAATACTATTTAGCTCATTCAATATTCACGCAATACGGATGCAATGGGCGCTAGTGTTGCAACTCAAGAGTACGAAAGTTCACAATACCAATGTCGATCGATCGGAATTGGATTCAAGAGTAAGCCCCCAGGTGATCCGTCTGCTCGTTTGCCTCCTATTCCATAAAAAAAAAATAAACACCTAAACAAAGAAACGTTCATATTTACAATATTAGTGTGATTCAGTGTATTAAATTATGTCTTTCAGCTGACCAGACACCCACACCGACTCGTTTCATCAGGAACTGCGAGGAGGTGGGTCTCTTCCAGGACCTGCAGAATGTCAACCCATTTGATGAGGGCTTCAAGAGGGCTATGGAGGCGAAGTAAGTCTTATTACCTACGTCTTTAGGAAAAAAATTGAAGATGGAGAGGTCTTTCTCTGAGTAATCACAAATCAAACTGTCCAGGGCTGGAAGTGTCGACAGCTATTGGTCGCTAAGTCAAAAATACCGCTAACGGATTTTGACTTTTATTTTAAAAAGAGATAAGGTCTAAAAAATCTAACAAATTAACAATTTGGCTACCGAATTTTGTCATTGTTATAATCGAGTTACAGGCTACAGGCCTGATACTAAAGAAAAAACGAATAAATTGCGTGAACTAAGAAATGACATGGATAAAAAGCTCAAAAATAGTTTTACCTAACCCGAGATCCCTTGTTCGGTAGTTGCCTTTTCGTCAACTTGACTAACGAGTCTTATTGTGATTGATGTCTTTTCCCCTCAGGCACGGTATCCTCTCCCTGGAGAGTGCGCTCGCGTCCTCCTCGGACGAGCTCCACACTCCTCAGATGGTGTTCCCCACCATTGACGGAGACTCCGCCCTCTACAGCACCACGAACAATCAAAGGAACATTACTATAAGTCGGTTAGTATTAGCTTTTAATATCTTATTCTAGTTATTTCGATTGCACGGTTGGCGCGGTGACTGGGCAATTGACTGCCGCGCAATGTGTCGCGGGTTCAATTCCCGGAACAACTCTCTGTGTGAACCACAGTTCGTTGTTCCGGATCTGTGTGTCATGTGTATGTGAACTTGTATGTTTGTAAACGCACCCACGACACAGGAGAAAATCCTAGTGTGGGGTAATGTTTAAAAAAAAGAACAAATGAACAAAATGTATGAGAGCAAATGGTTTTAAGTTCGAACATTGCTGTTTTTTGAGATGTCTGGCTCTTGTGGTGGTAGCTTGTAAGGATGGTCTTGCAATCACTTCAGTATAATATATGATAGGTTCTAGGATCGATTTTTGAGTAACTTTCAGGGTAATTTTAACTGATGATTGGCAGTATAATGTCAATCGAGGATTGCTATATATAATAATATTAACTGCACCAAAATAAATCGATTCCATGGCTTAATATTTTTTGCTGATCATACTTATGTTATGCCTACAATTACCTGACAAAACATAATATAACATCACGCCTATAATCCCCGAAGGGTAAGCACATTACGGCACTTAATGTCACTGTACAATGTAACACCCACTTTTCACTATTTATGTTATCAGTCCCATGTAATAGGGGGTGAGCCTATTGCCATATTATACCGGGCACAATTCCAGATTCCGTGATACTACTGAGATTGTTTTTAAACCCCCAGTAGTACATTGCCCGACCCGGTAATTGCTGCCAGTCGCACTTCCAACCACTCAGCCAACAAGGCAGTCACTTAATTACCAAACTACATACGAGTAATTAACCCACTGAAATTACTTCCTAACAGCTCATCAAGCGACGAATCAGGTGCAGTAAAAGAATTTGAAAGAACAACAATTTCTAAGCTAACAAACGAAGTGACAACTATTAGCAGAATCGTGGGCAAAGCAGAAGAAAAAATAGACGACAGAAATAAAGATAATAATATAAGAACTGACTCAGTGTCATACACAACAAATAATGTTATAAAAATCAGTAACATGGTACGAAAAGACAGCATAGAAAAGAATCCAGTACAAACTCTAATATACGAAGACACAGTCATACATGATAGCAATGTTTTGTCTGAAAAAGTCCAAGAAGTACCCCCGATTATGAGCCAAAAGTCTCTAGACTTTATCGTTGATAGTTTGAACAACGATTTCGAGGACACTGCTAAGAAAAAAACAAAAAATGACGCCGAAGATTATGAAGTCATAATCAAGCTGCCGGGAGGGAAACAAGTGAAAATGAGGGCAGTCGAAGAGATAGACAAAGACAGAGAGAAAGTGTCTACGAAGGAGATTTTAAAGAAAGCGATCACTGAAAAGGTTGAATCTAAAAAAACTCCACCGAAAACGAATGCCGTAAATCTAATTCCAGTCAGTAATGTGCCTATAGTACCTGGTACATTCATACCTATAACTTTTGTGCCTCAAATCAATCAGAAAGTGCCTATAACTCCAATCAATGTTGATATAAAGAAGCCGGTCAAAAGAAAGGTCCGGTTTGATAAAAGTGACAATGCTAAAGACACTGGGACGGTTTCAACTGACAAAAGTGTTAGTAATAGAAAGAATAGTTGTCCTAAAGATCTCGATAGTCGGTCAGCTGCTTCTAGAAGATATAGGTAAGAATTCTTTTTATTTTAAAACATATCTAACTCCTCACACGCGGTTTCACTCGCTGCTCGGCTTTTATTGATCGTAGTGTGACATTTTATAGCCTGTAGCCTTCCTCGATAGTAAAATGGGCTATCCAACCAAAAAAAAAAATAATGTCGGGGAGAACCTAACGGGTAACCGGGGCTCCGGCTCGACGTGCAGGAGAAGGAACGGGGTGGTTTTTAGTCAGTAAGAGTCTGACACTCCCTCCCGCCTCACACAGGCGGGAGCAGTCATTCGATGATTTTCCCTATTAAAAAAAAAAACATTCAGTACAAAATACTGATTGGTATTCACTTATGTGACATATTCACACTTTCAAACATGGATACGTACACACACACTTACTTACTCAGTCATTCACTCACTCAGTCAATCACTCACTCACTTACTTGCTCACTCACTCGCTCGCTCACTCACTCACTCATTCACTCACTCACTCACTCACTCACTCACTCACTCAATCACTCACTCACTGCCGCCCCGGCTTCGCACGGGTGCAATATGCATGTATTATACATATAAACCTTCCTTAACTCGTCGAGTACCGGTTTTGCAGACACAATTATAGAACAATAGGTTGCGGTCACCGGTGACCGCTTGGTGTTTGACAGTTTAAGAATCACTCTATCTATAAAAAACCGTATCAAATACCGTTGCGTAGTTTTAAAGATCTAAGCATACATACGGACATACAGACGGCGGATAGCGACTTTGTTTTATACTATGTAGTGATATAATATATAATGCACTGTACGGTTGGTGCGATGGCTGGGCAACCGGCTGTCGTGCAACGTGCCCCGGGTTCGATTCCCTCATGAAACAACACTTTGCGTGATCCACAAATTTTTGTTTCGGGTCTGGGTGTCATGTGTATGTGAACTTGTATGTTTGTAAACGCACCCACGACACAGGAGAAAATCCTAATCTGGGGCAAAGGTGTTTAAAAAAAATATATAATTATAATAATGTATAGTACTTATAGTCGAATTTAATGTTATTTCCAGGGCGCGTTTAAAAGAAACATGGATGCAACAATCGCAAGAGAACGAAAGACTTAGGGATATGAATGAGAAACTCACCGCGGAGAGGGACGTACTGAAAACTGTGATCTTAGAACATTTGAAGAAATGCCACGATTCTAATGACTTGAGTAAGTATATTATTGTTATTAATCGAAGTCTTAAGTGTGGGAGAGCCATGCTTCGGAACGAATGGGCCGGCTCGACCGGAGTGATACCACGGCCGAGCAGAAAAAAACGTGAAACAACGCTTGCGTTGTGCGAGTGAGGTTACCGAAGGCCCAATTTCCCCCCCTCCCACCTACCCCAATCTCCCCAATTCCCAACACTTCTATCCCCAACAGTCCTCAAATTCCAAATCCCCAAATAGCTGGTAATACACTTGTGACGCCTCTAGAGTTGCGTGTGTCCATGGGCGATGCCGATTGCTTACCGATTGCGTTCCGGGTCTGTGTGTCATGTGTATGTGAACTTGTATGTTTGTAAACGTACACACGACACAGGAGAAAATCCTTTTTATTTTTGAGGGGGTAAAATCATTCAATGACTTCTCCCGCCCGGGTGAGGCGGGAGGTAGTGTCAGACTGACTAAAAACCACCCCGTTCCTACTCCTGCACTTCGAGCCGGAGCCCCGGCAACCCGTTAAGTCTTCCGCGGCTCCGTAGCAGGAGAAAATCCTAGAGTGGGGCAACGTTTTTAAAAGATAAAAACAGTGTTATGCTTCTTCTATCATTGTCGTTCTTTCTATATCCTTTCTAAAACTTCTTAAACTAGGATATTCTTTGTGATACAGCGTTAGTGTGGAGCGACGTTAAAAAATAAAACAGTCAATTTGTTTGCGATTCGATGAAGGTTGCAGATGTTCTATTTTTCTTTATTAATAACTCACATTTCAATAATATCTATTTTTAATTGTTTCAGAAAATATTTTGGAGAACCTCAAAAGTACAGGGACTACGTTACAATAATTCTGCCTACCCTACTTTTCCTGGTTAATAGTCGTCATGAGCTAATGTTCACATGTAAACAGTGACTCATGTAGTGTAGATGTCCAGTCAACTGGTGGTAGCGAGGTTCATTACTGGTGAATCCCTGCCTACCACTTTGTTGAAGAAAACTTCGTGGTATCGTTACGTTTGTCGCGGAGAACCTAACGGGTAACCGGGACTCCGGCTCGAAGTGCAGGAGAAGGAACGGGGTGGTTTTTAGCCTCACCCAGGCGGGAGCAGTCATTCGATGATTTTCCCCCCTTAAAAAAATGTAATGTTATGTTTATAGAGTGTTATAGCAACTACCCATGACATAGATGATTCGGTTCCCGACTCAAATTTTAACTTTTTGATCGTCACATCAAATAAATATCATTTAGGACGTTTTGAGTTGAATTGTGTTCAAAATTGGTAATTTACTGCTCGGTTGGCGCGCAACGTGTCGCGTGTTCGATTCCCGCACGAAGCTACTGTTTTTATGATCCACAAATTGTTTGTTTCGGATCTGTGTGTGATGTGTATGTGATATTGTATGTTTGTAAACGCACCCACGATACAAGAGACAATCCTAGAGTGGGGCAATGTTATGAAAAGATGAACAAAATGTTATGCTTCTTCTATCTTTTTCGTTCTTTCTATCTCTTTTCTAAAAACTTTCTAAATTAGGATATTCTTTTACTTACACACACTTAAAGCTAAAACAACATATTATGGGTAACACAAGAATTGTTAGATGATATCAAATCAGCGGAATGGTGTGCAGTATCTTATTTTCTAAGCCGCTGTACTTTTCTAAAGGTGGCTCTGCACATTGGGCCAACACATTTGGCCAATGTGTAGTGTAGCCAACATCAAAGGATCTTGGCGCGCTCCACAAACGGCAGTCACACATTAGGGTCTCATTCAGTTTGTTGTTATTCGTCAGCAAAGACTATTGTCGCTCGTGAGTTGTTACCGAATTACAATGACGTGGACGAATCTGATATTATACATTTTCTATTCACTATATTGGCCCCATGTATAGAGCCGTCTTAACCGTTGTTATAATCTTTTTTATATTTAACTAGTGACCCGCCCCGGCTTCGCACGGGTGCAATATGCATGTATTATACATACAAACCTTCCTTAAGAATCACTCTATCTATTAAAAAAAACCGCATCAAAATCCGTTGCGTAGTTTTAAAGATCTAAGCATACATACGGACATACAGCGAAAGCGACTTTGTTTTATACTATGTATTGATGGGCCGACGTTTGAACTCCATATCGCCTGGTGGTAAGCTATGATGTGACCTACGATGGAGCACGTCGTCCCATAAGCAACCTATTCACTCGGGCCTTGAAGACACCCAGGTTATACCCTTAGAATCTAGTTCATTATTTATGCTTGACAGTGGCGGTCAAAAAGTAATGAGCATAAACAACGTACATATGTTGTTTATGGTCAGCAAAAAAAATTCAATAAATTGACAATTATTTATGATTTGTCTAGCCTCACAGATATTGTTAAACAGGCGTCAAACATGTTTTTATTTTTTGATATATGCAGTATTTTCCAATGAATTGACTCAAAGGATTTTATTATGAAATATTGTTGTTGAGATTTATTATTGTTGTGACATAATATTATGTGAAATAATTAAAATAATTTATTTATGTACCTATGTAAGTAATAAATCAAGTTTTATTTTTTTTTCGTGTTTTATTTTTCATATTTTTCCTTTTGTATTTATCCACAAAGAATTGGTTGCTAAGTCGCTTGCTCGCTAAGCTTGATAGTAGTCGCGGAGAACCTAACGCGTTACCGGGGCTCTGGCTCGACGCTCGAATGAACGGGGTGGTTTTTAGTCAGTTCTTACTGACTCTTGTCTGACACTCCCTCCCGCCTCACTCAGGGAGCAGTCATCGATGATTTTCCCCCCAAAAAAACTTTAAAGTAGATTGCAAAGAGATAAGGTTGAAAATACATAAATAAATGAGACTTGACCACAATAGGGTAGATGACAAATTTTTATTTTAATGTGCTTCTAGTAGATTCTTTTAAAACATTACATAGGTACGTATTTTTTACAGAAACGAACTTTTGACGATATATTCATTTGAAATGTCGCGTGACGTCACTTCTATGTACATTTCATACGTAGAAATGACGTTTTAGCACCCACTCCTAAACTTTGATTCGTTATATATAAGTATCATTTTATTATACAATAAAATAAAAAAATACGTGTCTGATATTTTGCATTACCTAACTGACGGACTAATTACATTTTTAATTTTCATACCCTGTCATTATCCCTATTCTGTCGTCATTATCCAGACAGGTCTGGTAATCTACCTGTCAATTATATTTTACTAGCGACCCGCCCCGGCTTCGCACGGGTGCAATATGCATGTATTATACATACAAACCTTCCTTAAGAATCACTCTATCTATTAAAAAAAACCGCATCAAAATCCGTTGCGTAGTTTTAAAGATCTAAGCATACATACGGACATACAGCGAAAGCGACTTTGTTTTATACTATGTATTGATAATATTTTTAAAGGACATTGCTTTGAATAAAACTATTGATGTAAATGACGTTAGGTTACGCGTGTTAGGAAAATCAATTTCATAGTTTTCAAAGTTGACTGAACAATTAGTAAATTGTTATGACGCTTGGACGTAGACTTTCAAACTGAGTGAAGTAGGTACATTTGTGTGGCATATTCATTTACACACCGTGAAATTTATTTCGTTTTCGTCTCGGGGCAAAATAACTTGTTATAAGTACCTAGTAGGTACTTTCGATGTATAAAGTAAAAACAAAAAAATCAAGACGCCAATTTTTTTAGTTCCAAAAGAAATGTTCTAGGGAATATGGACTGAAACACTAGACGTAAATTTTAGGCACAATTCGCATCGCACGTGCCACCCGACGAGAAATACCTCTTCGAAAATTACATAGTGTGATGATTTACTAGTTATTTTTTGTTAATATATTTTATTTTTTTGTGAAACTATTGTATTACCGAGACAGAACAATTTTACTTCGGGACGAAAACGTAATAGATTTCACGATGTGTTTTATAGTATGTATTTATTAGTAGAAGGCAAAATGTTTGATACACTGGGCAGCAGCACATTTTAAACTGTAACCTACAATACGAATTTATTTTAACGTCTTGAACAGTCGAAACAATTAATTTTTGAGAAACTATTCATTCACCATGTCTTAATTTTTCAGCGCCCCCTTGCGTTCGTTCCCGCAACTAATGAACACACCCTCTCAAACGCCATTGACATTTTGACAGTGAAAATGGCGCGAATTTTCTTTTCACTATGCCGAGAGTGTTTCGAATTTTCACCACTAGATGGTATTGTTGCTATTATGTTGAATAACTTTCGCTTTTCCAAGAATTTGTACTACATGAATGTATTTTCGTTACGTTATGCTTAGTATAGTATTTTCATATCTTTGTAATATTTGTAGATATTAAATTTATTTTGAAATGTTTGTCAGATGAGATTTAAAGTCAGAATCGTAATCTTTGCAATTATTTTATGATTAATGCAGATATTTAACGGACAAAATTACATTAATATTTTAATTTTACTACTAATAAGCCCACAATTTTAGTAACTTAAGATTATAAATATACCTATATTTTCTCTAATTCTTATCCTAAGACACTTATTTTCGAGGAAACTAAATGATATAATTAAATTAATCGAATCCGTTTGCTATTTAAATCAAAAGGTGATATGATATCGGTAGAGAATCACCAAAAATGATACTTGTAGTAATATTTTCTTTGCTTTATGTTATAAAACCCTAAAATGCGAGCATTTCTCGTTTTCCGCATAGCAGTAATACAGAACCAATGCCGGAGTGACTGGGTTGTCAGTAAACAAATTTTACCAAGTATCGGGGTAAAATTGATTATATTGCGGAATTTATTTCTTCAAATGCGTTCTTTATTTACTATGGCTTTGTATAAAATCTGTGTTTTAGATTAAATATTAGAATAATTTTTTGATGTCAATCAAAATATCAAAGGAGCATAATTAATGTAGAAATTTCGTAGTATGGCCAAGTTCACATTTAGGTACTATAAAATGCAAATCTAGCTTATTTGAAGATAACAAATTAATAAGAAAACGCTATAAATTGGTCTGTGCTTACTTCAATATTATATTATACACAAACCCTTTCCAATATCCGTATAAAACTATATTATAAATAGCTCGAAAGACCACTGCACTGCGATCATTAAGGAAATTGCTTGTTCAAGGTTCGAACGAAACGATACAGCACCCCAAGTCTATCCTGAATTAATTATTTAATCATAATGCGGCAAAGCAAAACTCCACGTACATGTGTGATATTAAAATCCAGATTATAACGTTTCAAAATCATTCTAAATACGATCAAAAGGACAAAATTATGTCACTAAACCACGTATTTGTCGCAAAATTGTTACAATTTCGATGCAGACCTAGTTACCTACTACATTTCCATCGTATTGCGTAACTTTGTGTTTAGTCTGGCAGCCCCGCCAGTGAGCCGCCGCGCGCTGTCTAGTCGGCGTGTCCGTCACCCTCGTAAAATGGGATTAAAATCGCTGCATACACGCAAAATAACGTTATAAAAGAAAAATACGAACAAAACAATATATTTAATTATGATTAAACCATATTTATAACACAAGTTGTTTAGGTAACAGTGAATTAGTGTTTATTTTTTCACGTTAAACGTATATCATAATGTTAATTGGTACGTAAAAATTAATATTAATATATTTGTTGAACAATTTATTTGTACACATCAAAATTCCTTGTGAAAAATTATATTTATCTGTTTTTTTACCTTTGTTGACACATTTTTTTTGGTTTTATATTGGTGATTGCAAAGGTAATGGAAACGAGTGCATACAACGTCAGTTTTAATGTGGCAATGTGATAAATAAAAATGAATTATTAAACAGTGTTTTCGGTAAATAATAATCGTGGAATGTAGCGGTACGTAAAATCAATAATGTGCGCGCATTGTACCGCGTGCTGTCGTTAGATTTTTTCACGTTAAACACACTAATGTCACAATGGTAATAGCTACTGCGGCAAAATACACATTTTAACAATAAATTCGTACTATACAACCCAATAAATAAAATTGTATGAAGCTTTATGGCCACAGTCTTACGTAAATAACGGAATTTAACGATATTAAAACTCTGCAGTGGCAGTAAATCACGAAAACACGTAGAATGATAATAAATTACGGCAGTTCCCGCCAATTTATTGTTAAATTTTAGATTTTTTTTGAATGAATTGTGACATTCCGTAATGAAAATTAGAAATAAACTTAAATTGTTTTGTAGTTGTTTCTGAATCCCATAGATGGCGCTCGTATATTTACAAGTGAATCGAGAACCGGGATACGGGTTATTATTTTTTATTACGCTTCTTCCAAGTCATTTTTGTACGTTTTAATTTAACATAATGCGTTACTAACGCAGAAATGTACAAGAAAAAATCTTCATACATTTTGCAAGGTTAACTAAGACGTCGCCTAAAATCACTGCGAGAATTTAGCGCACTTTAAAGCTTATTCAAAATAATATGTCACATAAAAATAATACTATAACAACAACGTTAGTTTAAATTAAGGTTCCAATTAAAGTGCCGTGCTAGTATAGAGCTAATTTACTAAATAGGTACCTAACCTATCATGATTACAGGCATAAATACCAAGTATTTAATAACTTTATCATATTATTTTATCTTGTTTATGCACGTATTTGTATGACCTTTCTCTGTGTTCAGTTCAAAACTCTTCTTCGTTTAAAACACACATATTCACATTTAGTTGATAAAATAATAATATAATTAAATTTAAGTAAATATCAAAGTGGAAATGTCAAGGAGATTGAGCTGAAATTCAGTTAGGAAGAAGGAAGGAAGAAATTGGGAAAAAATGCGCTGGATATTTCCTGTACCAGGTGAGATGTGGTTTATTACCTAACTCTTATTAATTTCAGCATATTTCTCAACTAATGTGTGTTTGATTTTGTGTCTTAACGAAATTCTATTCAAATTAAAATCATTTATACATATATCATATTTTGGAAAAAAATAAAAATCATTGGCTATGACACAGTGAACTCGATTAATTAGCCGTAAACGGCCTGAACCACAGACTGTTCTTTGTTTGATGGAACGGTTCAGATCACATCCAGGCTGTTGTTGTAATAGAAAAAAGAAATGGTCATTAGAACCGATTTGCTACATTAGATTAACACCTTGAACGCCATGAGGGATAAGGTATGGGCCACGATAGAGGAGGATTTACCCTCAACAGTTTTCTGTCGGCGGTCAAACGCTTAGCAAAATAATCATTTAAAAAAATAATTACTATATAAGTAAACTGCTGCAGTATTGTTTTTATAATAACTAGTAGAGCTTTTCTCAGTCGAAGTCAAAATCATTTATTTCAATTACACCAGAAGCACTTAGGAACGTCAAAAAATAAAAGTGAATCTATTTGCTCATTCCAACGTATAGATTCCTATGTAGAAGAACGAGCAAGAAACTCCATAGGTTACTCTTTTTCAATCGGGTCCACAATACAATTCTCTAGTATGCAGTAACTCGTAATTTTTGGTAATGCTGCGGTACTGTTAAAAGAACGGCGCTTATTAAACAGACTAGGTCGATTTATGAATCTTTTTTGATGTATCGAAGCAACATCATAATAGACAAAGAGGAAGAGGTACATGGATTGTTCAAAGATGACTGGTATGAAAGAAGAGGAAACACGGCGGCTGATAGGCGAGAATGGAAGAAGACGTCTCAATGCTAATCTCAGGGCCAAGTGACACGGTGCAAGGGCACTGGGAAAACAGCATTACGACAATAAATATTAAGACAAGACGTTTATCGAAAGTACATATTATTATACCTACTTTCTGTCATTCGATACTGGACGCACTGGATAAAAAGTCTAGATATTTTTTTAATTTATTTTATTTGAATTTATATAGAACACACACCCATAAATCCGAATTTCCGTCTTTTGTATCTACTGACACTTCTTATTTAATTGAAACAATATTGTCAGTGTTACCAATTTATAAAAAAAAATTACCCCGAAAAAAATTTAATGTGTATTTAGGTATGTATGTACATACATTGAGTAAAACATTTGACTGCGTCGTTGGTGTAGTAACGCAAGTTGCTACAATCATTTCTGTTGAACACCAGGGTTCAATTCCCAGGTCGGACAAAAAGTTATTTTATTTTTTTAGATTTTTCAAAAATGTAACAGGCCGGATTGGAATTGGAAACTATATCCATACTTAATCAGGTACTTAATGAGACTCATAAAAAACTGATGAACAATGGATGTTACTTTTCATATAAATCACTTCAGCTGTACCTAATTTAAAAGTACCTACTCAAACTCAAAAGCATTATGTCAATTAAACCATAATTTGGTACTTTTGAAACGTCAACAGATACTAAAGTAAATTATTATGTTTTCGACTTACTCACGTAGCAATTCGACGAGGAACTCGACTAGTTTCAAGCCATGCTAGCCATGCTAGCCATGCAAGCCATGCTAGCCATGAAACTAGTCGAGTCCCTCGTCGAATTGCTACGTGAGTAAGTCGAAAACATAATAATTTACTTTAGTATGTCTCACGAAAGTTACAATACAGATACTAAAGTAAAAAAAAAACCAAAGAAGTTATGTCATATATATAATCTAACAAGGGTTTACCTGGAATTAACTTAAAACAAATAAATCAAAACAGTCCCCTACACAAACAAAAAGATACATCTTTCTAAGAGTACTAGCTTATGTTGACCGTTCCAATTCTAAACCATAAGAACTGACAGCTTGACCTGACCTCAGCGACCTCTACCGTGTTGTGTCAACATGCACGGAAATAGACTGAAGACAATGAACGCGGCTAAAATAGACTATTTGTAGACTATTTTTGTTACGTAGAAAGTGTTTAATGGTAGTAGAAACTGGATTTGTGGTCGGTTTGTAGAGTAGATTAGATAGATACTATTGTCATCACTCCTAATCTTCCTGAGGGTATCGGCAACTGGGCAAAAATAAATTATTTCGACTGTTGAATACAATGAAATATTAATACATAATCACACTTTCATTACTTGATTTTATGATCAACTTAATTTTAATAGATTTCCAGCAAATTTTTAAGAATTAAGTATGCAGTTTGACGTTAAAAAAAACGTGACGTCACAATACACGATCTCGTAAAAAATTTATAGAAAACTGTCATTTTTGACAGTTCGAAAAAAGTATTGAATTTGACTTGTAGGCAAGTACCTAACTCTGACTGGCTTGTTGGTTAAGTGACTGTAAACGTGTTTGCCAAACAAGGAATTTTGTGTTTGATTCTCAGGTCGGCGGGGTCCGTGTTGTACTCTTTTCAGTTGTTCGCACTATAGTAGCATGGGGTTTGAACATCAACCTGGACCCCAAGCACACAGTAACACCCACTTTTCACTAATTATGTTATTATATGGTAATAGTAATTTTAGGTTGGGAGTCCGTTGCCGTAATCCAGCTGCAGGTTGAAGTTCAGACCCCATGTTACTACAGTGCGAACAACTGTAAATAGTCCACTACTTAATCCCGCCCCCTTACCTGGGAATCAAATCCAAACAAAAAACAAAAACATTCTCAGAGGGAAAAGTTTTACGAGTTTACACATTGTAAAGTTTGTAAAGTTTAACCTATACGGGATATGAATCACTGACCGTACAGTCAGCGACAGCGGGCGATGGTTTCATTCAATATATCTATCTATCTACATCTATATATAAATAAAAATGAATGTTCGTTCGTTAGTCTCGCTATAACTCGAGAACGGCTGAACTGATTTGGCTAATTTTGGTCTTGATAGGTTCGTGGAAGTCTAGGGAAGGTTTAAAAGGTGAGAAAAAACTTTTAGGCGGTACGAAGTTTGCCGGGTCAGCTAGTATAATATAAATAAAAATGAATGTTCGTTCATTAGTCTCGCTATAACTCGAGAACGGCTGAACCGATTTAGCTAATGTTGGTCTTCACATGTTCCTGGAAGTCCAGGGAAGGTTTAGAAGGTAAGAAAAAGTTTGCCAGGTTAGCTGGTTTCCTTATAAATGAATATGTCCGGTAATCTTATATGATTTAATACTATCCCTTTAAAACCCAAAGGGAAACAGAGGAGTACATTGCCCAACGCTTTTTTTTAAGGGGGGAAAATCATCGAATGACTTCTCCCGCCTGGGTGAGGTGGAAGGGAGTGTCAGACTCTTACTGACTAAAAACCACCCCGTTCCTACTCCTGCACTTCGAACCGGAGCCCCGGTAACCCGTTAGGTTTTCCGCGGCTCCGAATCGGCATCAGCCCTATTGGGCCCCATCCGTGGTGGTTTGATGGCTCTTTGAGACGCGATGCGCCGCACGCTCGGGTCTGGTTCTGGTCGGGCGGCGAGTCACCCATGCTCGCCATCCGCAGTCCCGCGCTAACGGTGGGCGGAGATAGTATTGTCCAACGCTAGGATTTTGTGTCGTGGGTGCGTTTACAAACATATAAGTTCACATACATATCACTCACACACAGACCCGGAACAACAATTTGTGGAGCACACAGCTTTTTCCGTGAAGGAATAGAACCCGCGATACGTTGCGCTGAGACCGGTTGCCTAGTAAGTAGGACAACTTTGAGGACAACTTTGCAGGAATAGGAACGGGGTGGTTTTTAGTCAGTAAGAGTCTGACACTCCCTCCCGCCTCACCCAGGCGGAAGAAGTCATC